TAATCTGTTTACCCTTTAAAATTAAATGTTAATAAATTACCAACGATCCAACAGCAATGACAGCCTCATCCTGTATGCAAGTTAACCTGCCAGCAGCGAGGAGCTTTCTGCTAAGATCTGCACATTTTTCACTCACAAAATACCCCTCCTCACCCAGCACACACAGTCTTCCTGTCTCTGGGAAGATACTCATCGGAATAATGCATTCCCAAGCCTCTTACCCCAACCTTAACTATGTTCTGAGCTTGCAGCACTTTATTCATTCATTGTTGCATGCAGCAGTCGCTGTCAGGGCTACTGCAGAACAGACATTCAGTAAGGTCATATTTCATTTCTACCAATAGCTGAGGCAATTTTTCATCTCATCCATTGACATAAAGGGCCCGCATAGCTGCACTTGGAACCATTTTGAAAGGACATGGTCTTGTGTGCAGCCAGGGACCTCAGTCAGTGTCAGGCATGTGTAACAATAAAATAATGCGTGAAAAAAGAAGAAAAAGAAAAGAAATGAAAGGCCTAGCATTCAATGGAAGAATGCGTAATGCCTGTCACTTTTCAGCGCAGAGTTTTAGTTCTTTTCATCAAATATGTGATCTCATGGGATATTGTGAGATTTGCTGCTACCCCAAAATTTAGCTTGACTTCTGTAAAAATTTGTTCCAGCCACTTTTGGGTTGGATAATGTCAATTAACCATGGTGGCCATCTTGAATTAGGTTGACTCCAAACGTTAATGAGTTGTAAATGTACATGACATTTATATTCAGATCCATCTCCTGGTTCATGAGTTATTTCGCTTACAACACAGATAAATACATTGTCGGTGGGCGATAATAAATTCTCCTGTAACAATTCAGAGAAAAATCTGTTTTTCTGACTATACATCCAGGTCGGCCTCCAGCAGACCAACCAGTGAAAAATTGTCKCTCAACACAAAACCCACTAGTAGCACAAAGACTTTTCAGAATACAGAAAGATCTCATGAAACACATCATCTTGGCACAGGCTCTAAGAGGTTCTTTAGAAGTTGTGGGATTCTCAACCCAACTCAAGCTGTTCGGCAACCTACTGGGAAAAATAGCTGTTCTAATCCATTTTGAAAGAYATATTTCCCATTTGGCTCAGGCAGGCACAGCTTTCCCTCCATTAGAAGGATGGAACTGATATGGTTGGAGTGAGACTTTCAGTAACATGTCTGACATTTACAGCTAAGCGTTAATCTGGGCTGAAAAAAGGCAATTCTTTTCATCYACTTAACGCGATACATTAACGCGCCAAAATGTATTTTTATTCATGAGTGTTAAATTTGTTTGTATCTTGTGCAGGGGAAGATAGCACTTGATGATTATATCGAGCAGATTTCTAGGCCTGACATAAGTGTAAAACCCTGCATCCTTCTCACTTGCGCAGCATTAAATAAACACTGTCATTGCTGCGTCTCAGAAGCAATTAGTCACATTTGGGTGAGAAAGCTCCGAGAAGGTGTGAAGACCAAACTGTGAGACTCCAGGTGAAATGTGCTCACTGAAGAAAATCTGCTCAAGGACAAAGTGTGATAATAAATAAAGCAGCCTTATCTTCTATTCTGGTTCAGCCTATTCAGTTTTGAAGGTAACAACTGTAAATCTCATTATCACCAAAAGGCGAAAGAAGGTGATTACATATTTGCTTGTCTGTGTGTGCTAGCAAAAGTATTTTATGAGCCACTGGACCCATTTTATGAGACTTTTAAGAAATAACCAGTATATATACTGTACATTTAGAGATGATTAACCGTTGSAGTCAACAACCACAACTAACTCAACAAAACAACAAAAATTGCTATAATTCAGCCAATTTTACAGAAACTATGCTAAAAATTGGTGTAGTTGTAGTCGAACATTATTCATAACACATACTTCAATTGCTTCTCATTTCACAAGATTTTTGCTTAGAAAGTGAACATTAACTTTTGGCATCAACCTAATATCCTATGAACAACTGGGCAGATTTTAATGAATATGAATACCTCCAAAACATTTTTTACTTTTGCGATTATTTCAGTTCAGGATAATTGCTACAGCCAGCTAACCTCAGAAAACACCAAAATGAGTAATACTCAGTTAAGTTACCAGCTATTGAGCTAAAATATGATGTAGTTGTAGCTGAGTTCACACATACTCTCACATCTCATGAGAGTAAAGTGAGATCATGTGTAATGTTATTTTCAAGGTTTGACCAAATTGTCTACAGCACCATCAAGGCCTGTAATAACAATGAATTGTCTCAGTAATTATTGTGATAAATAATATTTGAAGACCATTTTAAACTAATATAATAACACCCCGCACACCGTTTACGAAGCTTACAGAAATTTATGAAATTATGAAAAAAAATAAAGTTACAAACTGACCTGGCTTAGAGACTGGGAAAACAAAACAAAACAGCTGCTGAAGCTGTAAAATTACTTCTCTGACTTCATAAAATAATGGTGCTCACTCTCATGCTGCTCACAAGATTTACCGAAGTTTTTGAAATTTACCTAAAGTTACGGTTGAACCATTCTTTATGTGTCTTCTTCTAACTTCATAAAAATAAATTACAGTCACCCACACACTGCTTACAAAGTTTACGGATGTTTACGAAATTTACGCAGTGTACATAAAATACAACTTCAAGCGAACCCGTGATTYGGCACGGTGCCCAAAGTGCATCCTGAAGTGTCGGAAAACTGAAGMTGCTTCTTTAGCTACATCCCTGTTCATGGGGCTCTCATGCTACTGAGGTTACAAGACAATGCAACTGGCAATATCTGACAGGAGAGTTCATGCCGTCCTATGCTAAGGAGCAGAAAAGAGCGAGACGTAAGGTAAACAAACAAGCAGGCAAATGAAAATGATCAACCTCATTTTAATTTATCGTGTGATTAACTGATTTAATGCTTAACGTGACAGGCCTAGTGCTATAATTTCTCAGCCTATGATCTTAGTCTAAGTCTGGTATGAAATGTGGTGGAGGACATGCATTCCTTCAAGGAATGCTAAAAAAATTAACACTTCACAGTTCTTCAGTTTCTCTGATTTGCTCAGTGATTCGCATTTGCGATGCAGCATCGTAACACCCGCTCCCCCGAGCAGTTACTCTATTGCAAGGTGTTCTGAGGTTTTAGTGCCTTAATAAAACTGGGCTATGCCTTTGATGATCCAAGCCCATACTAGAAGCAAAATATACACCTCGAAATTTACTGCTCCCCAGAATGTGATACCAAAGCAATTAGTGTCGGAGAGATTGGTAGCCATGAAAAATCCTTACAGCATGCCTCGGAGCCAATAGAAAAGCAATGGATCTCAGTTTTATGGCCCAATTGCTTATTCAGTCTTGTTTGGTGTTCCTTTGCAGGACTCTCAAGTCAGTAGGGAATACTGAGGTGGGGCAATAAATTACTTTTGCATTTAGCATAAAGATACCCAATAAAGACTAGACAATACTGGGATGACTGCAGTGCAACAAAAACAAATCCCAGAAGGAACATAATGCTACTCATGGTAAACAAAGAGGAAAAAGTTCCAAGCCCGGCTGAAAACTTTGTTATAGCGTGTTAAACAGGACATCAATCAAAGCCACAACCCCCTCTGTCTATCCTGCAATATAAATCTCAGCGTGTGCCAATAAGTTGTGCTTCCATGCGTTACAGTTTGTATTTCCAGCTTATTTGTATTGACGAATCTGTAACTCCCCCAGCTAAAGCAGCTTTCATAGCGTATGAGCAGTRAAAAGTTGCAATGCAAAGTGTTGCTTTAAATAGCTCCTTTTTTGATTTTTTTGAGCACTATCACTACTGTCTTCTGACAGCAGAAAAACCATGAGACGATGGGAAATTCTCTGAGAGAGACAGCCCGGTTCCTTCTGCAGCTCACCAAACAACCCTAAATGTCAATGAGCACATGTTTTCCTCTGTGAAGGACACCAGAGTGACTGGGCTGCATTCTTTGCCATAAGAGTGAGGGATTACTCAGACGCCTGTAAAACAGCGTGTAATCTTGCAGCCCGTGGGGACAGGGACTCAATCTCACCACAATGCTACAAGAGACAGACTGGTTCACTTGTTAAATCCCTGTTTTCTACAAAAATTACACAAACAAATGCCAACGCACCCACAAACATCCTAACAGCCATTCAGTCTGGGAAGCTGTTGCTTATAGGGAGGCTGGCTTGTCTCACTGGATGGTGGTATTTAGTTATCTACTTATGTATGGAGTTGACTTCATAAYAGTTTTAATTTCAGCTTAGTGTGGCAAGAAAGATACAGTTGTTCTGTAGGGAGCAGAGGAATCAGGGATGCCATGTGCCCAAATAAGCTCTTTAGTGTCCTCAGCTGCTTGCTGTTTATCTAAAGGCTTTTTGCTACTTACTTTATACTTGAACAAAAAGAGAGGAAACAATTCATTTGTTTAGTTAAWTTTTGTAAATTAAGGTTTCTCTGTTCATTTCACCTAATCTTTATCATACAAGTTGATCATTGGAAAAAGAACACAAGTTCACCTTCTGAGTTTTGGGATTTCAAGTTACAGTTTAAAAAGATGAAAGTGGGCTTGCGTAGAAGTGTAATGAGCATTTAGTATCTTACCTTGAAGATAGTTTTTTGAATGAGCTCAATTTGGTGAAATARAGTTTAATTCTGACCGGACAGATGAACTAATGGCTAATCTAACTCGGCCAAGTGGATCACTGCCATTTAAAAAAAACTCTAATTGACAAAAAAACAATTACAGAAATTTATGCAAACAGTATTTTATAAACCTTTGCATCATTTTYGCATTTCACGATTATTCCAGCTTAGAGAATATACTGTATTCCTGCCAGGAGTGACCCAGTCTGCTCCAGAAATGCTACAGCTAGTTGCTACAGCTGCCACATTTATGATCACAAGGTTTTGTGGAAATAACCTGCAACAAAGTTGTCATTAAGAACAAACAGAATCTGATATGAATCACTTCCTGTTTTGTGTCTCGTCTTCTATAGGTTGGTTCTCAGCAATTTCTCCAGAATGAACACCAACTCCTCCGATGAATTTTTCCAGGCCACAAATCATGCAGAGCAGACGTTCCGTAAAATGGAGACGTACCTGCAGCACAAGCAGCTGTGTGACGTCCTACTCATAGCAGGGGATCACAAGATACCAGCTCACAGGTTGGTGTTTGTGCTTCTGTCTGCTTTCATTTCATTCATTAGCCCCGCAGATGCTATAAATTAGAGGTAAAGCAGCTCGCCTGTGTGACATTCATTAATCTGACCGTGCAGTGCGTTTCAAGCTGGGGTCTGGATCCCAGTTTGCAACATACTTTTTTTTTTCTCCCCAGCTGGGATCTTCTGATCATGAAATAAAAGCTGACACACGCACACTCCATGTTCACTGGTTTGGTTCTAAATATCGACTCAGCTGTGATTTAATTACACCTTTGTCAATCCTCATTGCATTTGACACAGAAGATCACTGTGCTTCACTGCATAAACATGCCAATACGTGGGCATCAGGTTCTCAGGAGGCTGGTTGAATTGAACTGACAGTATTGAAAAGATCATATGACGTCTTCTGAATGCTAAAGGCCATTGCTTTCTCCGAGTGCGTCTGCCTGAATGCTGATTTGCCACATTTTGTTTGCTCAACCGGACAGACACATAAAAAGAAAATCCTTGTAACAGGGCAGKGGCTAAGGAAAGGTCAAACATGATTAGAAACACATTAGGACATATTTTAGAAATACAAACTTATTGTATTGAACATYAATGAATTAGAATTGGAATAGTATTGCTAGAGGTTGTGGAATGAAAGAATTTGATAGGCTTAGAAATAAGTAGAATTAATTTTCTTATACTGACCTAATGCAAAATCCCTTTAATCAGCAGCACAGCATGAAACACAAACAGTGACTACACAACATATTTACTCTCACTTTGTTTTTTGACATTCATGTTTTTGAAGTGCAAAATGAAAAAAAATACACTCTGGAACTATCCTCCAACTACATCTTGCAGTAGAGATGTAAAAGAGCGTATTTAATGCATTACTTCYCCCCTCTTTATGGCAGACTGGTCCTAAGTTCTGTATCAGACTACTTTGCTGCCATGTTCACCAGCGATGTGAGGGAGGCAAAGCAAGAGGAGATAAAGATGGAGGGAGTGGATCCCGAGGCCCTCAGATCCCTGGTTCATTTCGCCTACACGGGTGAGTGGCTATAAAGAATTCACTGGCTTTTGTAAATCGTCACGAGACCTTTGAAATCCTGTGTGATTAAAATGGATCAATAAAGCAATTCATCATCGGGCTCGCTGAGAGTGGAGCGCTACGGCATAAAATCACTTTATTTTAACAGGCAAAATGCCACATAATAAATTCTCTACAGTGTTTTTGAAGTAGGAAAATTTAAGTGGGATGTAAACACCACATGACTGGTTGTTAAGTTTTTAATGTCAAATGTGACTAAAGGTCTGAAAAAGAACTGTTGTGTTTTGTTTATCGTGTGAATGTTGAATCTTCATTCACATTACTGTTTTTCTTTTTTTCTTTGTGCTCTTTTAGCTGTTCTTATATCAAAATGTTCAGCTCATTCAGGAGATTTTTTTTAAAACTTTTATACTTTTCAGGTTATATAACTTTATTTAGAAATATTTACGTTTGACTTTTAGATAGCCGTTTGCTACTTTTAGCTATAGCCGTGTCATCACTTTAACATTTAGTTAGCCTTTTGGTACTTTATCATTTATGTAGTGTCCTATGTCTTTTAGCTTTAAYAACTCACTTTTAGCTTCTTCAGAACATTTAAACAGTCATGCAGCTTTTACGTAGCATTTTTTTTAAAAGAAAATTAAATTTCCCGAGTTTTGTTGAGTTTTCCTTCACTGTTTTAGCTCTGTTCTCTGGACACAAAAATTGACATTTTTCTTTGTCATGACATCCCAGGTGTCCTTGAGCTGAAAGAGGAAACCATCGAGAGTTTATTGGCAGCAGCGTGTCTCCTCCAGCTTCCTCAAGTCATCCAGGTCTGCTGCAGCTTCCTCATGAAGCAGCTTCATCCGTCCAACTGCCTGGGGATACGATCCTTCGCAGACGCTCAGGGATGTGTGGACCTGCTGAACGTGGCTCATAATTACACCATGGTAGGACAGTGAACCGAGTCAGCGGAGGGCTAAATTATTTGCTTTGCGATAAGGGTCCGTGTTCTTTGTTGCATGAATGCACGGGCATTCGCAACACAACCATATCAGTAACAAGATGATTACAACATCATTTACATCACAGTGTATTTGTGTTAACATGAAAGTCATCGACACTGGAGCTAATTAAGTTTATTGTTTTCCATTTATTAAATGTTTATAGGTCATTTTTCAGCTTCTATCAGGATTGTTTTTATTAACTTGCATTAGAGAAAATGAGTTTACTGAAGTCACTCAGCYGATACTTGAAAATAATGTTATGCAGCCTGTTAGCTCTCGGAGCATGTGTTGGACTTTTTGGCAYTACGGCACAAAACTTTAGCTTAGTGTGTCAAATTGAATGCAATATAACTTTTTTTTTGTGTTTGCTAAGGTTGATTAGCARCAGTAGCCATCTTGATTTGGGTTGACTCCAAAAGTTATTCAGTTAWAGGTTGATTGCTTTCTGCRAATTTCATTAAAATCTGTTCTCTGGTTCATGAAATATTTTGCTAACATAATATATGAACTCACATGGGCTGGCAAAAACATTATTGTCTACCTTTCAGGTGATAATGGCAAACAAAAATGTTGGAGAGTTGTTTACTTTTATATGACCTAATTTAAATATTCCATCAAAAACTATGAAGGAATAATAAAAAAAATGGCATCTTCGGTGTTTGTATCTTCTAATTTCAGCAGACGAGATGTGGATATTTGGATAGAATAGAAATGGAATAATTTCATGCTTTCACTTCATGTAATGTGTGGTGTCAGAAGACACCAGGTTACTGTTGCACATTGATTAGTGCACTGCCTTACGTGCAATCTCMTTTTTTCCCCCTGAAATGGATATTTGCACTGGATTAAAATTCACCACATTATTTGTCAGATCAGGTTTTTCTCGGTCATGCTGAAGTGACAGCACAAAGCTGGCGTTATCTCCTAAAGGACATCTGCTGGCCCAGTGTACATCATGGGCTCCATCCACGACCAGGAGGTTAATCTAATCATCAAACTGCACAAGAGGGCCAGCTTCCTGTTCAATCAGTTCAGTAATGAACAGGGAAGGCTGTAAGCTTCCTGGCAACCCCATCCGCTGGGTTCTGAGTGGACCGAGTCCTGTTTGCGCAAACTTGTTTTCCCTGTTTGTGCGCGGCAGTCTATTTGCTGACATCCTTTTCCGTTTTTTAATGGTACAGCACATACAAAAGTAATGTTACATTTTCCTTACTAACATGTTTTTTTTAGAGAATCACTCTAGCAGTTTGTTGCTGAAAGTCTTCGAAAGTAACCTTCCTATTCCTATTCAATTTTTTAAAGTGGTGTCCTTTTGAAAGGTTACAACAATTAATATCTTACCTGTTGTAGCATGGTGTTTGAATGAGTCCAATTGGGAGAAACAGAGTTTAATTCTGACTCAAACATTCAGTTAATAGGTCGTCTGAGAGGGACTAAAGTGGAGTGTAGATAAAACTTTAAATTGTTGTCAGTTTTGAATTGCACAGTTATGTATGAATCTGACACCTTTCCTGTGCAGCTTTTGGTTCTTCGGCAGGGACATTTCTGCTGTACTAATGTCAATGCAAAATTTACAGGGCTGTAAAGCTTTATGACAAAGTTTCTCAAACTTTTTAGCTTCTTTCTGTCATATCAACAATGACAAAGACTTGTGACCCCAAATGTACATGATTAAACCACATAAAGTTTTAAAAAGGTAAACAAATGAGGGCATTTTGACAGCACAAATAGCTTAAACTCACATTATATTACTTTTTAAAATTTATGGCTGTTTATATCACATCTAAAAGCAAAAAAAAAAAAGATGATAGAAGTAATTTTTGTTTGATATTTAAAGATTATCAAAGAACCCCCAACTTGTTTTTTTGTGACCCACAGTGGAGTTCGGACCTCAATTTTGGGAACCACTAATTTATAAAACAGCCTTTGTATTAACTAATATGAAATTTGGAGCTGTTTTGAGGAGGCAGCAATCCATTTTAGTCTTGACTCTGCTTGGACTAGCCGTTAGCTTCTCAGTGCAGTCAGAATCAAACTTCTCCAAACTGAGGCTGCTCAGCGGTTATCTACAACAGGTAAGATATTAACTGCTCATAGCCTATTCCACAGAAGAGACTCCTTTATGCAGTCAAAAAACTGTTAATACACAATTACTGTTTTGCTCAGTTACTGAATTATTTACCATTTCTTCTCACTGATCCAAATTTCTGTCAGTTAACCCAAAGAAAAACTTTATAAATAGTCATTGAAAACTCAGTTTAGCTTCCAGCTTTGCTGTCCAGTACCAGTGACCAGAACAAAGTGAAATAATTACCAAAGAGTTGGTTGAACTTTCCACCTCAGCTTTACCACCGCAGATCAATACATGCCCCCATTTCATTAAAGCTCTTTGAATTAAGCTTTTAAAACCTGCTCTCATAAAGATTGGATCAAGACACTGTAATTTGTTACAAGCTGATGATCAGTTGTTTTTTGTTGTTTTTATCTTTTGCAAACTGAGAGGCTTCCAGCTCATTGTGAGCACAAAGTTACTTCAGCAGCTTGGTAATCAAAGCTCAGCTGCCTCGTTCAAAGAGTAAACAAGGCAAAAAGAAAGGAAAAAAAAAAAAGGAAATGGCTCAGTCTGTCTTCCAACTGTTTAAATGTTGGACATGCTATGGATCCATGGAAGATTTGATGCAGTACATCATATCTAATGGAAGAGCCCAGAGACAAAGGCCTTGAAGATGTGCTGTCTTATCGGCTGGGCTTCTGGCCAATAAGTGGAAGATTAATCTTTGGAGAGGCAACAGAAAACAGCTTTCGCTAAGATTCGAGCTGGACACGTCGTTCGAGAGACTCCAATAGTTAACACGCACCGGCTGTTTCTCATTAAAAGGCTCAGAAGGGCTTAAAGGTATCATGTATTATTAGCAGCAAAACAAAAGCCTTATTAGCTATTTAATAAGGTTTGTTTTAAAGGATGTTTTGTCAAATTGATTTGTGCCTTGCAATTTGGATTGGTGTTTTTAAATTATTAAACAGATGACAGTATCATTTTTCTCAAAGAAATGGGGAGTATTTCACTGTGGTTATCGCTTCTTGAAGATAGAGCCTAAATATCCAGCAATTTCTTGTTCTCATTTTTCTTCACATCTGTGTCCTTGTGCCACTTGGTCCTCATTCAGACAGACACACACACATTCGTACAAACAGAGCTGCACCGAGTGCACTTCCTCGGCTAATAACTGATGATTATCTGTCTCCTCTGTGTCTCCTCTCTGTTCCAGGAACACTTCCTGGAGGTCATTCAGAATCAGGAGTTTCTCCTGCTCCCCACGGCGGAGATTGTTAAGCTGCTCTCCAGCGATGACATCAACGTTCCAGACGAGGAGACAATTTTCCAAGCTCTGATGATGTGGGTGAGGTACGATGTCCAGCACCGACAAAAGGACCTCGGGGTGCTCCTCGCTTACATCCGCCTGCCTCTTCTTCCTCCGCAGGTGAGACAACAGAGGAAGAAGAACTATAAATGTTACAGTGCTTCGGCTTAAACTTGGACCAGAAATAAGGATGTGGAGCAGTTTTATCTCTCTCTCTCTCTCTCTCTCTCTCTCTCTCTCTCTCTCTCTCTCTCTCTCTCTCTC